GGAGACCACCTTCGGGGTCGCACGCCACTTCCGGCGCTTAACAGTCAGTTTTTGGGGCCCCCAGCCGTGCGTTTTGACCCTCGAACCCTCGTTTTGCATCGGTTAGGGTTCATTTTTGGCATGGACCCTATTTTCATTGTTAGGAAGGTGGTACAAGGGTGGGAGACCACCTTTTCCCCTTAGAAACCAGCTTTCTCCTTAGAGACCACTTTTCTCTCTCCTCCAGCCAGTTTTCTTGTCGGGAAACTGGTCTCCCTCACTTTTGGGCCATAATTTCTGGTCTCCTATATCACCACTGAGTTGTATTCATCTGAGAGACCACCAATATGGGTAGGCCGACTAGCTTTTCTTCTTGACCCTTTTGAACCTTGCTAGAAAGATGGTTTTCCTCTCTTGGGCCACAATTTCTGGTCTCCCACCATACCACTATGTTGCATTCACCTGGGAGGCCACCTTTCTGGGTATGTCGACCAGCTTTCTTTCTTGACCTTTTTGAACCCTGGTCGGCCGACCAGGGCAAGTGGTCGGCCGACCAGGGCAAGTGGTCGGCCAGCCACTTGAACTGGTCGGCCAGCCATCTACTTTTTGCCCTTCTTGAGTGCAACACAGCTGTGCCAACTGGGAAGCATTTGATGCCCTTTGCTTGTCTTCTTAAGGAAGCTTTGGTCCTTTTGCTTAGCTTCTAGAAGAAGCTTGACTCTTTTGGTTAAGCTTCTTTTAGAAGCTTTGACCCTTTGTTGAAGCTTCTTAGAGAAGCCTTGGCCCTTTGTCTTCTATAAGAGTGGGTTTCCTCTCCTTTTGCAAGGGTCAGAATTTTTGGCCTCAAGCTTATACACTTCTCTCTCTATATCTCTCTCTTTTGCCTCCAAAAACTCCATTGTTCTTGCCCCATTACACTACCACTCATAGCACAACACCTCCACTACCATCCTAAGTAACTTGGAGCAGTTTTTCAGAGGTTGAAGGCTCACTTTCTTAGTCCAGAGCTTGCTGCATTGCTGTGCTACAAGGGTAAGTCTCTATTTTTTCCATTTTGACATTGTTTTACTCAATAGTTTAGCTCTATTTGCAAGCATTTTTGGACTTCGACATAAACTGAAAAAAGACTTGTTTTGAGGTTCTCTTCAAGTTCGTTCAAGGTCATTTTTCTGTCTTAAAATCAGAGAGGGGTGACCCTCTCACCCCTTGATTTGTTTACTAGCTTTGTTGGTCTTCCAAAGGGGCTCCTACTTGCATGTTTCAAAGCCATATTTCAGGCCCAATTTGGTGAGTTTTTCCAGAGCCCATTTTTCCATATAAAGTGTCTATTATGCATGTGTAGAACAATCCCTCATAACCCCTGTCCAGAGGTGGTTTTTCCATTTTGTGTGTCCATCATACATGTGTAGAATAACCCCTTGCATGACCTTCCAAAGGAGCACCTCATTCTAACATGTGTTAACTAAGTTTCAATGGGTTTTTGGGCATATTTTGGCATGGCATACTTCTGTCTTTGGCTGGTTTGGTGAGCTCTCATATGCTTCATATAGTTGTAGTACAACTCATGGTTCACTAGCTTTCTTTGCATGCTTTGTTGACCCTTGATTTTAACACCTTTTGGCCATGTCTTAAACTGATATTGTGTGTATTTTGGGTCTCATGATTGAATGATGTTTGTGTTGCATGCTTGTAGTTCAATACCCACGCTTAACTTTGAGTTTTGAGGTCCATTCCATGCATTTACTGAGGTGTGTTCATGTTTTGGGCCCATTATACATCATATTTCAGAGCTTGTCTGAATGCCATATTGCCATGTTTTCTACTCCTTAAGTGTGCTTGAGAGTTGTCCATGCATGCCTTGTTTTCGGACCATTGAATGAGCTTCATTTCTTTGCATGTTGAGCCATCATTTTAGATTATTTTCCCACTGTTTCAGACCTTCCTAGGGTCTGTTTGGGGTTGGTTTTGCCACTGGTGCATTGCTTTGTGTACCTCTAGTGTAACTCACATCATTAGTTTCGGTATTCGGGCCATCTAGCTTGCATTGTGTGACATACTTACATATTTCGGGACCATATTTTATGCCATTTCAGAGTTGTATCATGTGCCATCTCATACCATATTTCATCCTTTTCCATGCTTAGTTAGAGTTGCGTGTTGTGCCGTAGGATCGATCCTTTGCATTCGTGCATGTTTGCATGTATTTCGGTTGCTTCATTATCACGATATGGCCATTGATTTGGGCGCGGTTGAGGCCTCTCCATTTTGGTATAAGTCCATCGTACATTGTGTATGCCATGTTACAATATGTTGTGCATGTTATGTTGTTTTAGGCATTGTGTATGCCATCTCATTTCCTTGCATTGCGTATGCTAGGTTGTTAGTCGCATTGTGTATACCATATGGTTCATAGCATTGTGTATGCTAGTAGCATGTTTGCATCTCAACCTTGCATGTTTGCATGATTAGGTCGCATTGCATTAGGATTGCATGCTAGTTGCATTTGTGCATATCATGCCATCCTTATTTGTTGCATTGTGTTTGGAGTAGGGTTTAGTCCAAACATAGGAAACGAGGGACGTTTCGTACTCCAAGTGACGAAATGTGCTTCGATTCTCGGTCACCGACACTTTTGACTGTCCATGATAGAGTTGTTAGCTTTACTTGCTTATATGTGCATTCATTCCATACTAAGTAGTGCAATTCGACTTCTGGGCTATCATGCATCGGGATGCGTGATTGGTGGCCCGAGGATTGAGGGCTACACTCCCTAGAGCTCATGCAATGACGGGGAGAGTGGTCGTGCACACATTTGTTGAAAATACATTGCCTTCTCTCTCTCTCTTTCCTTTGTTACAGAAAAACCAAAATTCAGGGGCAGAAAGTGGTCGGCCGACTACGTTTTCTGGCAGGCCGACCACCTTTTTTGGTTCCCACCACAAAGGGTGGTCGGCAGGTGTCTCCCAAGCCAATATCTAGTTGGCAGCCTTCCCATGGTGGAGTTTCAGCCTCTTGGAGCCTTGTGCAAATTTCTAAAATCAGTTGCAAACAAAGGCGAGACGAGGCATCGCGATGGAATTTACCGATGAGGCGACGCAAGCATGCACTGCTCCATCGTCAACCAAACAGGCAGGCAGTCACTTCATGGTAGTTTACATGCTTGACTTTAGCTTAGTTGTAATTAGTCAATGGTTTGATGTAATAATTAGCTGAGCCTGTTATTATGCGGACGTATATATTTATCGCGACTCCTCGAGAGGGGAAGTGTTGTAATAAGTTGGTGCGTCGTGTGATGATGTCTTAACCCCACGTCTTCTCCCTTTTATATACGCTTTATGCATGGTTAGATTAGGGCATCGTTTCAATTTAGGCATACTTATGCTGCGATGTTTGCATCTTCATCGTATGCATGCACCGGCTCGGCGGCATACTACTAACTGCATTGTATTCAATTCCGAGTTGCAATACTTGTTAGTGTAGCATTTCAATGCCATCTTTAGTAATTAGCCGGCTATTGTTAGTTGCATTCCTGCATGTGTTGCATTAGGCATTTCAGCTAGATTATGCAATCATTGCGATGGATTTCTATATAGCTTGGTCTGTTTTGGCTCGGAGTACTCGGTAAGTGTTTATGCTTTAGCATCCTTGTATGCATGTGAATGACTGCTATGATAGCATGTTTACCATGAGGCTATTTGCTTATGTGATATAACTGCCTGAATGCCTGTGGGTGAAGGTTGGGTTGCTTGAGTTGGAATAATTCGTCGAAACCCGTGTTTTAGCCTACTTGCGAGTAGCAAACTTCAATCCATTTTCAAAACAAACGAATGTGCGATACTTTGTTCCAACTTAGGCAATCCAGTCTATACTTGTATGCTGTGCGCATCACATAGTACAATCTAAGCTAATAACTGGAATAAGAGCACATAATGTTTTCAAAACTCGATATCATGGTTAGTAGAGGCCGATCTTTGATCGAGCGAGCAAGAGTGCTCACGAAGTGACCTTCCCCAATCGTACCCAAGTTCCCGAGCCGAGATAACTTTGGTGATGACGGACACGTGGCCTTAGGCAAACGAGTCAGGGTTTCCTAAATTCTTCAAAATAAAATATTTAGGTGGCGACTCTGTATCTGGCAAAGCAGTCCATGTTTGGCACTTCTTTCAAAAAAATCTGTTTTCAAAAAAATGATTTGCCGGATTTGGACTCTTTGATGATTCATCGGTCTTGCATTGCACTCTGCAAGATTAGATACAGGACCGTGACATTTGAGTCCTGAACTGTAGTGAGCCCAACGAACAAAACGAGATTCCCTCTCGGGACGTTCGGAGACGTCTACACAAGCAAGCTATGACTTTGCATGCAGATAATGAGTCTCGCATGTGCCGAATCTTTCTCAGTAACTTGGGACCTTTGGTCGTTAGGTGGTATTATAAGCTCGAGCCGTCAAGTTTCCATTAACTCCAAAAGTCTTTCTGTGCTAGATTTATCACCAATGAGATATAACCCCAATAGGCCAATTTTTTATGGTCAATGAAGATTGGACGCAATGAGACTTTGTATAAGTACTCGGTTGTATATGATGATTGTAACGATTCAATGGCAATCACGGCCTTCAAAATGAAATTGAAGCTGGACAACTCACTTCAAAGCACTTGGACTCGCAAACCACCAAAAAGGTTTAGGTTTTGATGAAGAAAGGGAAAGAATATTGCAAGGTGGCAGATGATGTACTCTGAGTTCAAGGAGGGCTTCAAATCACTGCCTTGGCAACGTTGGTTTCAGCATAGCCGCTGGCTACTGTGCCTTCGAATGGAACAACACCGCTGAGAAGAAGCCTGGAGCTGCGGGGAAGGCCCAGGAGAGATAGTCGTCGAGATTCATACCAACGTTGCTAGCAATACCAAGTGGACAACAAATGTCCACGGAGGTCAGACAAGAAATATACAGAGCTAATTGAGTCGATTGGCCAAATCTTGTCAAAAGTTCAGCATAGAACATTCTTCAAATGGCCGAATAAGATGTCTGGATCACTAGACCTGAGGAGAAGAGACCAGAGATGCAAATACCACAAAGACCATGGCCATACAATCGACAAGTGCTATGCATTAAAGGATCATTTGGAAGAATTGGTGCGAGAACACCTGAACGACTACCTCCCAAAAAAGGCTGCCTTAACTAAAACCATATTGCGTAGGTCTCCTTTACTCGGCTTGATCCATATGATTTACAGCCTCCCACATCTGAATAAGGAAAATATGGTTCAACTGCAATGGACTCCGGAATCATCCCAGTCTAGCTTACAATCTATTGGGCAACCGAAGCGGCAACGGTTAGCACCGATCAATGTGATCAGTTTTTCTAATGCCGATCTAGAGGGTTTGACCCTACTCAATGACGATGCTCTGGTAATTGAGCTGCAGGTGAATAAGTTTGCCGTTGAATATCGAACAGGGTAGTATATATGAAATTATGTACTACAAGACTTTCTTAAGCTCGACCTTAAAGATGAAGATTTTACGGCAGCCGAATACCCTATTTTTGGCTTTAACGCCAACCCGGAGTACTTCTTGGAGAAGATTGTACTACTAGTGCGAGCTGGCACTCAGACACTAGAGGTAGAATTCCCAGTAGTCAAGTTTCCCTCCCCCTACAACCTGATTATGGACCGAACATGGCTCCATGCCATGAAAGCCATCCTAAGCACGTACCATCAACTTCTTCGCTTTCCGACTCAGTATGGCATTGAACAAATTCGAGGATCCCAGACGTCGGCGAAGAGTTGTTATATGATGGCCTTAGGAAAAAGACCAAAAAATCTCAAGGTCAATTCAATCGAAGTTCCGGACCAAGAAGGATTGGATAATGTGGGAAAGTTCCAACCGAAAAGGCGATAGAAGATCTGGATTGAGTTGTCGTACCCAGCGATCCTGAGAAGTTTTTCATGTTTGACGTTAGCCTCAATGTAGCCGAACGACAGGAGCTGATGACATTCTTACTGGGCAACATCGATGTCTTTGCATGGACGCTGTATGATATGCTTGGGGTAGATCCAGAAGTAGTTGTGCACCACCTAAATGTAGATCCCAAGCCCAAACCAGTCGTGTAGAGGAGCCGCCGTTCGGCCGTCGAATATGCATCGACCGTAATTGAAGAGGTAGACAAACTATTGGAGGCTGGGGCAATTCGGGAAGTTACCTACCCCAGTTGGTTGTCCAATACTATTGTGGTAAAGAAGAAGACGGGAACATGGTGTGTGTGCGCTGACTTCACAGATTTGAGCAAGGCCTGTCCTAAAGATTGCTTCCCCTTACCTCGAATTGATCAACTAGTAGATGCCACAGCTCATCATCAACGCATAAGTTTCCTGGATGCATATTGGGGCTACCATCAAATTGCCATGGATCCTACTGATTAGGACAAAACAACATTTCTCACTCCAAGAGAAACCTTTTGCTACAAGGTTATGCCATTTGAACTGAAGAATGCTTGAGTAACTTATCAGAGGTTGGTCACAATCATGTTTAATAATCAGATCGGCAAGACCATGGAAGTCTACATTGACGACATGGTGGTAAAATCCAAAGAAAAACAAACCCATTTGGCCGACCTCGCCACAACCTTCGATGTCCTTTGGAAGTACAAAATGAAGCTCAACACGTCAAAGTGTGCCTTCGACATTGGATCGGGCAAATTCCTCGGTTACATTGTCAGTCATCATGGGATAGAAGTTAAATCCCAAACAGATCAAAGCTATTACAAAACTCGACTCTCCCAGATCGATCAAAGAGGTTCAAAAGTTAATGGGTATGGCTACGGTACTTAACAAATTCATCAGCTAATCTTTTGATCGATATAGACCATTTTTACAGACGTTTTGGCAGGGGAAGTCATTCAAATGGACTCCGGAATGTTAGCTGGCCTTAGAAGGTCTGAAAACATACCTCGGCACTTTCCCTCTTCTGTCGACTCTTATGCCGAGCGACATTCTCATCTTGAATCTGGCATAATCTGACCATGCTGTATGCGCCGTGATTTTTCATAATGAACTCAACGAGCAGAAGCCCATTTTTTATGTAAACAAATCCATGGTCAATACAAAGACTTGGTATTTATCCTTGGAGAAATTGATTTTGGCGCTTATGGTGGCCGCCAGAAAGCTAATGCACTATTTTCAAGCCTACACCATTAAGGTGTTAACAGATTACCCCCTTCGGGCAGTGCTGCGCTGAGCAGAATCTATTGGTAGGGTCTCCAAGTGGGCACTGGAACTTAGACAATATGATATCCAATTCTCACCACGAATGGTCATCAGAGGACAAGTTTTGGCTGATTTCATTGCCGAATTCACAAAGCTAGTGGGCAATGCAAAGATCATCTCGCTTGACCAATCAGCCCTCTAACCTCACCCAGAGTAGCGAATGTATGTAGGAGACATCTGGAAACTATATTGTGATGGATCGTCCAACTAACAAGGTACTGGGGCAGGAGTTGTCATCATGACTCCCTAGGGGGCCATAGTCGAACAATCTGTCAAACTTAGCTTCGAGGCATCTAACAATGAGGCTGAATATGAATCCATTCTTGTTGGACTACACAGCTCGCTTTAGATGGGAGCCAAACGACTGCATGTCTTTTGCAACTCAAAGTTGGTGATTAACTAGTTGAAAGGGGAATACGCAGCTAAGGACGATCGTATTACAGCTTATGTGAGAGTAACCAAGTCTCTATTGGACAAATTTCACAGCCATGACCTTAATCAAATCGCTCGCGATTAAAACACTCACGCTAACACCTAGCTTGTTTAGCCTCAACCACTAATTTGGAATTCAAATGAACCATCGAAATAGGTTTCATCTCTAAGCCGAGTATCAGTATCTCTGAAGTTGCCCCCATTGTGCATATTATTCATAGAGAACCGAGTTGAATGGACCCCATCATTGCATTCTTGAGTTCAGAACAATTATCGGAGGATAAGAAGGAAGCCTATAAGCTTCGAAACAAAGCCCTGAGGTATTATTTGGCCCCTGAGGGGAAACTTTACAAAAAGTCTCTATCTGGGCCATATTTAGAGTGTGTCCATCCTAACAAGGTTGAAGACTTCCTAGCCAAAATACATGAGGGAAGTTGTGGCGCTCATTCGGGAGGACAATCACTGGCTCATCGAGCCGTCACTCAAGGCTAATGGTGGCCGACTATGCATATAAATGTAGAAGACTATGTTAAGAAATGTGAGCGATGCTAGAGATTCTCACCATTAACACATTTGCCAGCCAAAGAATTGAACTTCTTGACTAGCTCTTGGCCTTTTGCTCAGTAGGGTTTGGATATTTTTGGACCATTGTTGAGAGTCGCAGGCAATACGCGTTTTTTAATTATCGCTACAGATTATTTCACCAAGTGGGTTGAGGCAGAACCTTTGGCTTATACACGGGACGCTGATATCAAACGCTTTGTCTGGCGAAACATCATAACTCGATTTGGCATTCCCAGAGCTCTCATTTCGAACAATGGCACTCAGTTTGATTGTGGTCTTTATCGGGAATTGTGCGACATGTATGGAATTCAGCCATACTTTTCCTCCCCGACTTATCCACAGAGCAATGGACAGACAGAGGCTTCTAATAAAGTGGTCCTGGATGACATTAAGAAATGGCTCGAGAAAGAAAAGGGCAAATGATGCTCACCCTATGGGCGCATTGAAGTACGCCGAGACGATCCACCAGAGAAACTCTGTTCGCCTTATGCTTGGGTAATGAGGTAATAATACCGCTAGAAATTAGTTTGCCGACTTTCTGATCAAGGGCGTTTGATACTGGCCGAAATAACATGATGTTTGCTCTTGATACAGATTTAATCGAGGAACGTCGAGATCAAGCCCTGGTAAAGATGGCACGATACAAGCAGCAGCTGGCCAAGTCCTATAACCAACAAATGCAACTCTGCCGATACACTCCCAACAAGTTGGTCCTTGAAATGGTACTTTTTGCAAGTAAAATCCTGTTGACGGCAAGCTCGGTCCTAACTGGGACGACCCTTATTAGATTGATTCCATCGTCGAGGTAGGGGCATACCGCCTGTTAGATATGAACAACAAATGGTTACCCCAGTCTTGGAATTCGACCCATCTTCGTAAAGTGTCAATTCTTTTCTTTTTTGATTTCTAATGAATATATTATTTTACATGTGTACAATCAATGATACGAGATGTTGTTCGTTATATATTGAATGTTTTGCGTCAATTTAGATCAATTAAAGCCTCCGAATTTGGAGCATTCTTCATGCTCGACACAAAGCGCCATTAATAAAAGCCTCCAAATTTGGAGCACTCTTTGTACTCATCACGAAGTGCCATAAATAAAAGCCTCCAAATTCGGAGCACTCTACAATGCATCATTTTTAATTACAATTATGTAATGTACAAGCATAATTAGTTTGATGAATGCACACAACGTAATTGAATTTTTATTGAGACAACATCATGACAAATTCAAATTACATTACGGGTACATTGATCCTAAGGCCGATCGGCTTCCTAGTTACAGGAGTTGAACCCAAGAATCAAACCGGAGTTTACTCGGCCGATTAACTTTTCTAAGGGTTCGTGGCCTCCGTCTCATTATCCGTTTTATCGGCATCGTAGGCTTCAAACGACATTACGTAGCTCTGGTACAACGGTGAAGCCGAGTCAACACCCGCCACTTGAAGTGCCTTTGTTCATCCGTGCTTGAAGCCACGATTTCACATCGGCATACGTCATCCGCCAACTTCTCCCTTGTGTTGTTTATACTAATCTTTTTTCCTTTGAAGAAGCCTTTGTTGTAGGCTCAGCTCTCTAGGGCTTCTCTCGCAAAAATGATGGCAGTGTCTTGATCAACTATCGCTTGGTCCATCAGGCGTTGCATTATTTTGTCTTTCGATGTCGCCAAATCTACCACATCCGCTGCCTTGAACTCAACCACTCTGGTTTTCCGAGCCTCGATCTCAGCCCTCTCGTTGGCCTTTTCAAGTTGGTGTTTCAAATTTTGAATCCACCCATCTTGGTTATCGATTTCCTTTTGGGCGGCGCGAAGGCGCATGCCAACTTCATATGAACTGTATAGACCTTTGATAGCCCTGTGAACTTCTTCTCTGAAAACCTTATAGTTGCCCCGATTGGTCAGAGATTGGTGCACTTCTGGAAGGAAGATTTTCCATGTAAACTCAACTGCCACATTCGGGTCGTGGACAATTGAATCGGCTTCAGTCATAGGTTTGTTCCCAATAAATACGGAGAAGCTTAACGGACGTAGCGATTTACTTGGCTTGCCTCAAACTGGGGCTTGGGCACTAGTAGCTCTAGTGCTTCATTTCTTTTGAATCCCACTTCTAGGGGATCTGCTTTGCTTGTCCCTCATTTTTGTCCCATGTTACTTGGGCGAGCGATGCCTGTTTTGCTTCTCTGGTTCCACGATGTTTTTGCGAACAGAATTGCTGGGTGCTTGTTGATTCATTTCTGCGTCTAGTTCCGCTAAACTCTTCCTCCTCCCTCTGCTGTTGAAGAATAGTCTACCTGATATACACGATTTTCTAAGCTTCGCGATGACGGGATTTGAGGTGCGATGGACCGTTGGCAAACCAGACGTCTCTTCGCAGTGGTAATCTACTTAGAGCAATTGCACTATTTATAGGTGGACCGTGCGAACAAATTTAAGTATGACGAAGACATCACTTTCGATGCCACCTAATGATTCCACGTGTCCGTTGTCCCATCAATGCAGAACACATGCCACTAATCGCATCCTCCGTACTCGATTCATGTTTGCCACATCTCCATGCCTTCATTCCAACCGAGGTAAGGGCAGATATATGAATTTACTCGACGCACACACTGCCTCGCTTGTAACTCAACATCATTCATATTGTTGATCTTAGTGCATTCGTTCCCAACCGGGAAAGGAGCAGATATATGACTATATCTGGCATGTGATACACCCTATTTGAGACAGTAACACAATTCATCAACTTCTAGTTTGCCTTTGGATTGATTCATTGTTGACGCACAGTTAAGTCATCCCATGTTTTCACGCTTGGTTTCCTACTCAGGGCAGGGGCAAATATTTGACTGTATTCGGCTAAATATACCCTGTTCACGAAACCCCAGTGAGGTGTCGTGTTAGTATTACGTATGTTTGTTAACGTTCAATATTTGTATTTTGCCGACTATGCAAACATCAAGTTGGGCAAGCATGTTAGTTGCACTTCACTCATATTCATTCATTAAGACAATTTTAATGCTCAATAGAATATTTCCATTTATAAACTGACTTGTTACATGAGTTGGTTACTTTACATATGAAAATGGCCCTAGCACATTGATTTTAAACAAAACACACACCAAAAAAAATAAAAAATAAAAAATAAAAAGAAACAAACAAACAAACAAACAACCAAAAACAACTAGGTTGCATTACAACTAGAGTACTAAATCTAACTAGTTGGTCAAATTACTCTAGATCTGACTCCAGTGGCTCCATGTCTTCCTACTCAAATGGAATCGGCACATTAAGCGCCACTTGTGCGGTTGCCAGTGCCTTGGTCCAGTCTTGTTTGAAGCCTCGGTTCTCAAACTTCTAGGCCTCGTCGACATAGTTTCCCATTACCGATCTCTCCCCCTCATCAAAGGCCTTAGATGCCGCCAACTACATCTCTTCCGTCGCCTTCTTTGCCTTTAGAAGCTTGGCTTTAAGCTTCTCCAGGTCTTCTTTCGCTGTTTTTAAAGTTGCATTGGACAGATTTGCCCTTTCTTCAGTAGCGCAACGAAGCAGGTCAACGTGTTTTGTCTTTTTTTCTTTGACGGTGGCCCTTTAATATTCCTCGTTGGCCCTCTTCGCTTCGTCTTCAGTTCTTTGCATTGCTATGGCCCATTCGGCAGTTGCCGACTTAGCCTTACCTTGTTCAGCCTCCATTTGTACTTTGAACTGATTGATCAACTCCACAATATCATGATGGCGGTGGCCGATCTCAACAGTTCGCTTAATAGCCTGCAGAAATGAAAGATTGAGCAAACAATTTGAGGTTTTACTGAATTACACATTCATTGAAATCAACTCACCAGAATAGCCAATTGCACGACCATAGTAATCAAAACAACGTCTGGCTCGGCGCGGAACATTGCCTTATCCAAAGGAAGAGTAATGACGGTAGCCATACTTAGAGCAACCTCAGGCTCCTTCATTGCCGACGCGCCCGTTGGGATGAGCGAATCCTTTATCTTTGGCTGGATAGAAAACGGCGCTGCTAAATCCAAGACAGGTGAAACTCGTGGTCTTTTTTCAATCGACAGCTCGACCGACTAAGTAGACTCGGCGGGGCACTTCTCATCCCTCTACTCGGCCATCGTTTCTTCAGTCACAGGCACGCGAGTTGGTTGTGTCATTTCAGTAGGGACGAAGTGAGCGTTGATCTCTTCCGACTAGGTCAACACCAGCGGGGAGACCTGACTACCATTAGCAGCACCCGTTTTTTTCTTCACCACCACTCTTTTGACGTTTCTTTTCTTAGCAAATTGGGCGAATGAAAGGGACTCACCTACCATGTATCGGCTCTGGATCCCGGCAGATCGTCTAAGTCAAAAAAGATATCGACCTCTTCCTGAGCGTCTTCATAATCAACTCGAGTAGAAAACGACACTAGTTCCAGGTCTTGAGGGTTGGATTCTTCACTTTCGACAATCTCAATAGCCGAATCGTCGCCCTGCTGTACTTGCTCGGTGCCCTGATTCGCTTCTTCGGCGTTCTCTTCGCTACTCCCACTATCCGCTACTTCAACTACTCTTATGTCCCTCAAGTTGACATAGCTTTCAAAAACCAAAGCAGTGAGCTGCTCTCTTTGAGGAATCGGAATATGGTTGGTAGCAACGAAGGAAGCGTAGGACGGATCGTACTTGAGGAGAATATGGGCAGCACAACCTTGTTCTTGAAGGTTCTTTCAGCCTGTGTATTCGAGGACGGTTTTAACTTGGGTGAGAATAGTCTTGTCCACTAAAGTAATTGCTTTTTTAAGATCGCTACTTGCAAAAACAGAGCAAAAGTAAATGGTTAGCATTCATAAATACAAAACTGAACAATACAGAAGTTGATATCTACTCGGCTACCTGGTTCACTCTTCTGTCTAGGAATGGGGTCCGAGCAATCCTTTCTAGCGCCGAACTCCTAGTTACCACAAATGAGGAACATGACATCGTCTACCCTTTTTCCTGAACTGGCAAGCATGGTCACCAGTTAATGGTCAACATCTCTGGCCTTCAAGAAAAATCGTCCCAGATGACTAGATGACTTCGCAAGGGCATAACAATGCCAAATAATTGGGATGCCTAGGTTTACATCCAATCGGCGGCTGAGTTCCACGATTTCCATAATATTCCGATATAAATTGACGTTTGGCTGAGATGGAATTAAACCCCAATAGCGAATGACGAATATAAGGAAGGGATGGAGAGGAAAGCGAACTCCACCCTCGGCGATCACCAACAATGGAAAAATGATGCTGCTAGTATCAGCCATTTCTAAGGCCACCACCGCATCCCTAACTAGTTCCAGTTGGATGTCGTCTAGAATTACGAAATGACAACGGAACAAGACGACTTTACTCTCAGAAAGTAGGGCTTTCAAGTGGCTCGCAATGGGTGAAAAGAAGGCAGTGGCGTGGTAGATATATGAACTACAGAAGGGGAGGTTAAGGATGGTGAATTAACGAAAGCAAAGCAAGAGAGAAAAGAAGACTTATGGAGGAGAATGAAGGCTGATCGAGCGTTGAGGATTGTGGAACGACTGTAATTAAAGGGGTAGAAATGTAGAGCTATGGGAACGACGTCTTTTTGAAAATGAAGCCGCAACAGAAGTGACTTTGAAATCGCATTTAATGAGTGAAGAGAGTTCGAAGAGGCGGGAAGCCTTACAAATTTTCCATCGGGTCACACCTATCGTGTCAGAAGTATTAATAGTGTGTCCATCACTCGCCCAAATTTCAAGGCATACTAGGTGTAACCCATGTGACAATTAAGTTGAATGTAGCTGGTCCCATAAAAGCCAAGCACGCATGCTACTTGGGGTAATTAACCAGGTGCTTGGGGGATAATTGTGGGAGTCGAGTAGAAATAAACCTAAAATTGACAAATAGAGTATATCCAAGCCCATCTTTGATGGGCCAAATTCGACCAAAGCCCACTGGACTCAAAAGTCATTGCTGAGTAGATACAAAAAATAGGATGAAGAGCATGCCGAGTTAAGGGTACCTGGGCTGCACATCTGAGCCGAGTACATCGGGTAAGTCGGCACGACCTTGTTATTAGGTGAACCCGGGCTGTCCCTTTCTAACAAATATGGTACGAAAATAGGCCCTAACAAAGGGATGATGAAGGCATACGCTATAGGTGAAAATATTAATGGAGAGGACTCTATAAAAAGAAGAAGAGGTTAGAGAGAGAGGTATGTTCCACAAAGCTTACACTTAAAGAAATAAAAGACTTCTTCATAAATAAAAAAAACTACTTTGCTTGTCGCAGTGCTAATTCCGACACAACCAACCGGAGTTGTTCTTTTATTTCAGGTGAAAACTCAAGGACCTTTCAAGGGCTTGTTTGGAATAAAGGAGTATTCCAAAACCATCCCCCACAAAAGTCACGGGTTAAACTTCTCTCACGTCAACACGAGAGACTCAAAACACACTCTAGTTGTAGAAAGGTGGTTAAGGTGCAACATAATCTGCTTTCATAACTTCATAGCTAAACAAGCTTCTTAATTCTCTTCCTTGAATCCTTCTCGAGAATGAGACTATGAGAAACTACTTCAATACAAAAATCTTCCACTTCTCAATGCTCTACTATTGATGAACTCTATCAGAAGAATGCTCTTGTTACTTTGTATAGGTTACACAATCATCAGACTTTCTTAAAGCCACTTGAGAAACAAGGCATGCTTCTCCTAGAGAAACCTCTTTTCAATAAAAACCACCTAAGGAGACAATCCAAACAAACCAAACCAAACCATTTTACTTCGAAACTTGCCTCCTTTAATTGAACCGATCAAAACCAGATGACCCAGCAAAAAAAAAAGTGCTTGCTTCTAAAAAAAAAAAGAAGCTCCAAGTTTCAGACCTCAAGCAAGATGTTTAAATAATTTCCTCTAAAATACAATGCTCCTTGTTGATAAACGTATCATATATTTTATTTATCGTATTAATTATTTATATCTTTATTACATTTTTTTTTAAACATCATGTACAATTAATATATTTTACAAATAATAGATATATGACGTCACAATTTGACCTAGCAGCTGAACCAATAACCCACCCATCCAATTTATTTTCTGATTCGCTAACCGATCCATTTTTTAAAACATTGGTAATAACTTTCAAATGAATTTTGCTATTGGGAAAAATTGTTTTCCTCTTAAAAGCTTAAAATGAACTCTTCGGTGATTACAAATTTGTATGGATTTGGATTTTGCATATGATATCGTACCACTCTTTTATCAAAGAAAAAAACTCCATTATTTTGAATGCGCACAGGTTGCAACCTCGAGAAGAAGAAGAATTAAAATAAAATATTCATTTCACTATAACCCTTGTCAGGATTGTCAGCTCAAACATTTCAGAATACAAAATAGAATATGATCGTAGTCATTTGGAAAAATAGCCTTGGTTGTCTGCTCATACATTTCTAACTACAAAATGGCATTACATTGGTAAAAAAATAAGAATTTTAAAACCCACCTAATTAGAGATTTACAACACTAGTATGCAAAATGATGGAAACTAATTATCTCTCTCTCTCTCTCTCTCTCTCTCTCTCTATATATATATATATATGTATATATATGATGGAGATTGCAAATAGTGGGACCCTAATTGTTGTTACCGCCTGCTGGTGTCAAGAGATCGCCCCATTTAAGAACACATGTAATTTAGTTGATAATGTTGCAGGAAAATAACTCAATGCTTTTTGTTCTTATTCTTGGTAATCCTTGATTTGCACATTTCATTAGGCGGTTTCCAGATGATATCCTCAAGATTGTCACAAAAATTCTTGTAAAACTGGTACACGGAAAAGTGTAAAACTCGGTTATCAGAATCCCAGAAACCAACTGGTTCAAAGAAAAAAGAAAAAAAAAGAATCCCAGAAACCAAAGTAGCCTATTCTTTCTTTTTTCAAAGATTAAACATGCTGAGCAAGAGGGACAAGCTAAAGATTAAACCACACAAAAGAATAAAAAATGGTACGTGTTAGCATGATGAGGCACGCCCACCTTAAGTGAAAATAATGACAATATTAGTGAATAATGAGAATATTAGTGAAAATAATGTGAAAATAATGAAAATAATGAGAATACCTCTAGTGGGCCCATTGTGCCGACATGTACATTCTTGTTACTTTTCCATGGTGTTTGTGTGCATGTAAATTTACTAACATTTACGCTCTGGTTGTTTCAACAAAAAATATTTTTCAATGGAAAACATTTTTATAGAAAGCTTTTTGATTGTGTTAGTGGTGGTGATAGCAGTGGCAGTGGGGTGGGGGTGGAGGTGGAGGTGGTGGTGGTGGTGGCAGCGGCTGCAGTAATGTTGTTGAGGTGGCAGTGGTGGTGGCGGTGGTGCGGAGGTGATGGCATTGGTGGTAATGTGGTGGCAGTAATAAAACTTTGGTTTAGAAAACGTTTTCCGCCTTTTAAAGATGGAAAATATTTTCCACCCAACTAGGCTTGTTTTTTGTTGGCCATAGAAAATGTTTTCTGTTATATCAAATGCCAGAAATGTGGAAAACATTTCCCAAACAAACGGAGCTTTATATGCAAATATATTCAGTTGTTGGCAGTGAACAAAGCAACTGACCTTGAGGTATTCACTAGCATCTCCGGCAACTTTCTGTATGTCAACCATGACAAATGTAGGAGCAACTTGAAATACCTATTTAAAAAATGAATTAGTTAAACTATAAAAATTTTACAAGAAGCCTAAAGTGATTTTAGAGGTTCAGGCTGACAGCATACTTCCAGAATGACAGAAAAATGTGACATCTTATTGGCTGAAAGTCCTTCCACCCTCATCTGAAAATTAATATTTAAAAAAAAAAAATTCAGTTTTATTTTTTGAGGACTATTGGTGAGATTGCTTTCCATGGAATCAACAGGAAAGACACTGAAAAAAAAAATAAAGCATGGACTCCAATTATTAGAGATGTCAAAATATACCAAGGTTTCGAATAAGATTACCAACTGGTCTACCTTATAATTACGAATGTGTGTCTTAAAACCCATTGATTGTGCAACAACTTCCATGCTCGATAAAACCACCTTTGCTGGTTTATGGGAAACAAAGCGTGTTTGATGGTTCATGGAATCCTGTCAAGAATGACAAGATTCAAATATATGAAACAAATTATGAAGCTTGATCAACTAAAATTCTGAAATGAATACATGACATGACATTGAAAAACTTGGGTTCATCACTGTGCAGGGTGACAAAGGTGACAAGGCAACATGCTCCTAATGGCAATACCAATAGTGGGAAAATTTGAAAAATATCGACAGCAAGTGATACACGAGATGTGGAAAATAACATATCACAAGCATGACCATGTTTGAGATGAAGATTCTTTGGTAATCAAATACTAACTCATTACTCATACCTTCCGACGATCAAACAGTGCTGAAAGGTTTAAGCCTTGAGAAAGAATAATTAGGTCGAATGCATTAAGAGTCAGAGGACCTGCATGCTCAGTCCCATATTGCTCATCAGCCTGTTTCTCCTAAAAACACCACAAGCGTGTGACAAATGTGAGGCAATAATAAAAACTCAGTGACTTTCAACAACAAAACCTGACAGACACGATTAGTTTTGAATAAAAGAGAGCCTACTTTAATATCAGCTAGGCAAGACCAAATTACCCTATATTGCATAGAAAATATGGTTTTAAAAAATGATGTACTTTCTCATTTTTAAATAGACCTACTGTAGAGCAGATATCCTCTCTATCTAATTCGAGAGGGCATAAAATCACCAGACCCAAAGAATATGAAATGTAGAATATGTAAAACAAAATGACCAGTGTGAAGAGCATGGTGAAGAGAACATGAAACCATCATTCTCTAGAACACTCATAAGAGTTCTAAAACCCATCTATGTATGCATGCAAGCAGCCAAGAAGGTAATATTTTACATTTTGGTGTTACATATAATGTTCATGTTTGTATGTTTTTGACATCTCATATGAGCATATATCTATGAGAACAGTTAATGCCTAATCTGCCAATTTGTGGACGAATAGTAGAAGCAACCCAGAGTAGAAAGATTCATTTACTAAGAGAAAATTACTGCTGGAGCTGCTACCGCAAATCTTACCCAAAAGCATAAATTATGGAACATTTTAGAATAATTCCAAATGATATGAAATGAAACAGAAATTGAAAGTGATACAAACCTCGGTATCATCAAAAACAGCATTCACATCGTCCAGGTTAACATCTTCATATTCAATAAGTTTGACGGGAACATAATCCCTATTAAACCACTCATCATTCCGAATCTCCTCAATTCGAATACGCTGCATAGAGAGAGTTCTCATTTACAACAACAGCCAAAGAAAATGAACTATATTTTCAATAATGAAGAATGATCATGGAAAAAAGGAGGCACCACAAACAAGGAAGAGTTCAATGCTTCCAAGATTCAAACACATCTTTATTATTGGAAAAAATAAAAGCCCTATATTCTTCCTTCGCTGGCCGGTTCATACTTGGTCAGCATATATCAGACTACCCATGTCATAGAGAACTTAGGTCCACATCTTCCAAGAGACATTAATAGCAATATTGATAGGTATAATACCAGAATTAAATTTTATAGGCAATAATAGAGAATCAACTCTTTTCACTTTTATAGGTAATACTAGAGAATTAAATTTTATGACAATTAAGCATATTCCTACTCATTCACAGTAGCAATTACATGGAGCATTCAAACAGTACTATAGAAAACTCATTAATGGTGAAATAAAACAGCAAAACTCAGAAGCATAATGCTGAAGCATCTATCGGACCTATGAAATTATATTGTGACAGTAGGCTTGTTATCAACATCGCTCATAATATAGTTCAGTATGATAGATAAACATATTGAGGTTGACATGCATTTCATCAAGGAAAAGTTGAGCAAGGGTTTGATGGCATGCCCTTTGTCAGATTTGATGGTTAGTTGATTGATTTATTCATTAAAGGGCTTAGCAGTAAGGTTTTCCAGCCCATTAATTTATGGTGCAAACATGGACATAAGAGATATCTATGCACCAACTGAGGGAGAGTGTTACGTAAGTCTATGGTTACGAAGGGGCTTGTTTTCTGGAAAATCATAGTTGTGACTAGTAGAGTTTTCCTTCATTTCGTAGAAGGGTAGTTTTGTAGTTTGAACCAAGTTATATAAATACGAGGGAGATGGGGGTGTAAATCTGGCCCGTGAGCCTGCGGCCTAGGAGGGCCCAGGCCCAACCCAAGACCTTGGGCTTAGGCCATGTGTTCTAGAGCCCGGCCCATCGGCCCTCTCTAGGGCCACTCAAGGCCTGGCCTGAGGCTTAGTGTCATTTTAGGTGAAAAAACATAAAATTTTGGTAAAAAAAATATAAATAAATAAAAAAATGGTTATGCCTAGCCCAAGCCTGCTCCAAGCCCGAGCTCAGGCCTAAGTCTGCGGCCCGGCCCACCAACCCGCCCAAGGTTCGAATACCACATGGGTTTGGGCCTAGTTTTATGGCCTGTAGGCTGGCCCGAATTTTGGAGGGAGCCGCAGGGCCTGACATGGGCCGGGCTGAATTTACACCCCTAGAGGGAGAGAACACTAAATCATTCTCTCTTCCTTCAGCATATACCGGCTCTTCCTCTCTTCTTTTTGATAAATCTAACTTCAATGGTATTTGAAAGGCAAATGACTCGTGCTAAAATCAGATACTAATAACCACACATTTCTTTTTGCGATCATGCTTCATATGATTTTTACTCAAGCAGCCAGGATAGTGTGCAAAATCATCCAATGACTAATTTTATGAAACAGCTAATACTTACAGTTTCAGGATTAGGATCTAAAATTCGATGGATTAAAGATTTTGCTCCTACTGGAAAAAATGAAGGACACGAAAACTCTGCTTTATCTATCTGCAGAAAATAGTCACAAGAAATAATACATTAATATGAGCAGCAGGCTAACAAAATACATAAGTAGAAGAATCTTGCCTATGCAGATTAATACTTGTCAGCTAGTGATTAAAAGCAGCATACAGAGAATATGTGTAATTAACAGAATACAGAGTGAACAAGGACATCAAATTGTTGTTTTTTCTTTCTGGTGCAAACAACTTCACTTTGCCTCTACAATATGGTCCAAAACATTGGAAAAACATTTAAAGAAAATGGGGGTAGTTAAAATGAGAACGTTGAAATAGATGAGTGGAGTTACAAGAAAATAAATAAGAAATTAATGCATTCGGGAGAAGTTAGAAGTAGCACCAATTGAAGATAAAATGAGGGAAAATCAACTGAGATGGTAGGACATGTGCACTGTAGACTGACTAACGTGCAAATAAGGAGTGCTTTGATTTACATTGAGGGTGCTATAAAGAATAGAGGAAGACCAAGGAGGACATGTGTGAGGTAATAAGAAAGGACATGATGATTGCCTTAGAATTAACTAAGGGTACGGACTCTAATAGAATCAACTGGGGGAAAGGGATTGATATAGACCGCACCAAATAATTGGGACAAAGGCTTCCTAAGTTGAGTAGAGTTGAGTTGACAATAAATGTAATAGTTATACATAATGTCAAATTACAGCTCGATGACAAAACTAAACAGCATTTCAAAAACCTACTATCATACCAATAATACGAGGCATAAGAATAACATTAGTTTGAAGCTTCACGTTCGTTAGGGAAAATACGTAAATAAATAGAACAAGTTAAAAATAAATTAGAAAGCTCTTTTTCTTGCACATGATATTACAATCAAAAAGAAAATAGTCCATGCCTTACTATACAATGTGGTGAGATCAATTTCATCAAATGGGAGATATCCTGCCATCAGAACATACAGAATGACCCCACAGGACCAAACATCAGCAACAGCACCATCATAACCCTTGTGACTGAGTACCTAAAGCAGATAATGAGAAAAAATAGCATACAAAAAATACATAAATATGCATAAAACATCTACCATGCACATTAAATCATATTAATTTGGAAAAAGAAATACTTGTAATCACCTCAGGAGCAACATAGTTAGGAGTCCCACAAGTCGTTCGAAGGAGGCTGACTCCCTAAGCACAATCACCACCAAGTAGAAAGATTTTCAGATTATGTCCCTTGATTGTGATGGTGTTAAAATTGAGAAGAGAATAAATATTATCAAGTATCTTACTTCTCCTGGCAAGGCACTAAGTCCAAAATCTGAAATTTTTAGATTTCCTTCAGAATCTAGTAAAAGATTTTCAGGCTGTAAATAGAATAAAAACAATGGTAAGTATTTCACAAAACAGTAATCACACAACAACATTACAAATGGTAGACGAGGAACACCTTTAGATCTCTATGGTAGACTCCCTTACTGTGGCAATAATCCACACCATCAATGAGCTGCTGGAAGTATCTCCTGGATTCATTTTCACTGAGTCGTCCATGGTGAACCTGAACAAAAATGCGAAACATCACCAATTTATTGTATGCCAAAGAATAGAAAATGCATATATCTTGTCCACCTTGCAGCCAGGCCACAAATTAGAGACTTACTATTTTATCAAATAATTCGCCACCTGTAATAAATTCCAAGATTATATAGATCTTTGTGCGACTTGCCAAAACCTAACAAAACAATATTCTACATTAGTAGGAACACAAGTCAACTAGAATAGATCCTACCCAGACTTTTGGGGCCTGAAAGTGACTAGGAAATTAATACTAAAATAAAAAGCTTATACTCAAAATTTTAAGCCCATGCCTCGTACAGACGAACAACATTTGGATGTCTGACAAGCTTCATTATAGATATCTCCCTTTTGATCTGCAAGATAGGGAAAAAACACTTGTTGAAGAGTTGAACATCTCTGGGACCGCAAGTTGAAAATTCACATACACACCCACAAATATGCATGAGAGAGGCAAATCTTAAGGAGAAATTCTCCACTCCACGGACATTCGTATTGGAAGAGAACAAATTGCTTGGATTTCAATTACTCTTAATAAGTTCTTTTTAGATAAATGCAGAAGCATAAAGTTGGTGATGATAGATTATGCTTGTGTTGTTGTGTTAAGGGTGATCTTAAATCAAGTACTAAAGTTTGTAAAAAGCTTTGAAACCACATCCTTAAAACATGCTTCTATTCAAGAGGGAAAAAAAGAAAAAGATGAGTTTGATAAACCAGGAGTGGTATACTGTGGTACATATTTGCTACACCTGCTTCTATTTCAGTAAGTGTGCCCACTGCTCTACAAATAAAATCAACCCTCTATTATTTCCGGGAATTCACTGCTGGTACCATATAAAGTTGAGCCAAGTCTAGCGATTGACAAGACCTGGACATAAGAGCCAGCATCTTTATTTATCAGAATTGAAAAGGCTGTAATGTAAATATACAATGAAAATCTACATTTAATTGCTTAAGGAGGCACCAATGGTACCATGTAGTTTTTGTTTCAAACTCCAGTACATATTTAGTGCCAAACTCTGGTACAACATCAAACCTAAACAGCCAAGCTAGCTCTTTGGTCTTCTAAGACTTGATAAGAATTTATGCCTACTAAAAAGTAAACTTTGAGGATTGTACCAAACACAAACACTTTTAAAAAGGTAGCATGTTTGTATTGAACGATTGTCAGACACATTACAACAAGTCTCAAACACAAGTCCTATTATTTTTTTATTTTTAATACCAGACACTCTTTGAACACTTGGGATACACTTAAACACGCATAAAACACATTATAACTTACAAGTATGAAAAAATAATTTAGGATCCAATGAAAAGAAAATAATGTATATTTACGCTTATTAATCCCTCCCCCTTCAAACTTTATGAATGAATCTTATGATGCATTTTTTTATTATACTTGAATGAATGTAATATTCATACATACGACATATAAAACTATATAATTTCTATGTCTCATGTGTCATGTTCAGCAATTTTTCAAAATTGTCATGTGAGCATATTTGTGTGTCCGTGTCCGTGTCCGTGTCCATGCTTCCTAGATTGCGTCTAATTGAAGTTCAATTAATTTGTTGAAAAATTATTAACAACAAAAGAAACATATTTTTATCTACAAATTCTATAGCTTTCTTATCCCTCGTTACTTGCTATTTACACTAAAAAATGACAAGCCAATGGATTGCTTCCACATGGCATAGGGTGGAACAAAGGGTGAGTTTTTATAATGGTGCTACACGCACCAATTGATATACTAATTAGTATACTAATATATGCTATGACATTACCACTTCAAAACTATGGACCTCACCCATTATACAATTTACAATGACCCAAAACCTCTAAAATTATGTCATATCATCCGTTAGTTTATTTATTTGTATATCAATTGACACATATGGCTAGTCGAGTTTTTAACTGGGTTTTAGGGAGGTTACAAGTAGTGGGACACATGGCAGCGCGTCATTCAAGGGATCAGCCATTATCCAACAATTAGCAATCATGGGTTAGTGGCAGAATCAGGAGATAACTGCCATTTCAAGCATCTATAAATAGGGCATTTGAAGATGGAAAAGAGGTTCTACACAAATTAAAAAATCATCATGCTGTCAAATTCAATTCTCAATCTTACTTGGACAGAGTTCCATTCAGTGTAGTATCAGTATTGTTCAATCTGTTTTCTTTAGTTTTATTCAATCATTGCATTTCCATTTCATCAACGATAAGCTTGTTAGTTTTGTTCTTAATGCAGTATTTCACCTTTAATTTCAGACCCAATGTTTCCTTTTCATTTCAATTCTCACACACACTTAGGAAATTGTTGTAGTCGCCTTCGTTGTGGCAAGAAATACAGCAGTGCTTTGATTAGAAGTAAGCCTACAATTACACCTTGAACTAGTCAAGTCCTACAAGTCCAGCAAAATATCAATAATGAGAGTATTCGTTCATGTGTGTACATATATGTGTTAATTTCACGATGCATTTGAAGAAATAAGTTGTGCTGAAGCAGAGTATTAATAGGGCTTTAGCCCAATTTGCACATTCCAAAACGAAGATACCTGGAAATAATCAGATTGATTGGAAACAGAACACATAATTCAAAACACAAAGACAATTAATATGTCCAGATTAGCAAATTGATTAACTCAAAACAAACTTTCACTATCTTCGATTCTGAAATTGATTCCTCCCAAACAAATTTATGAAATTCAATGTTAAATATATATGAATGTAGAGAGAGAGAGAGAGAGAGAGACCTGATCAACCATCTTGTGCTTGAGGATGGTGCTGCGATCGAGGACTTTCATGGCGACACTCTCACCACTCTCCGTGTTCTGAGCGAACTTCACCTTTGCGAAGTTACCTTCGCCGATCGTCCTCCCCACTTCGTACTTCCCAACCTTTCTCACCACCATCTCTCTCTCTCTCTCTCTCTCTCTCTCGGAAGAAGTAAGCAAATTCGTGTTTGTCTCCTCAGAATCGAAGAGAGAGAATAGGGAATTCTAAGCTCAAGCCTAACAGCAGAGAAAAGGAAAGCTTGTTTGGCAGGCGAGAAAAAAAAAAAAAAAGCAAGGCCAAGCTGTCTGGCTTTTTTTCTCGGTCGGAATTCCTGGAAAATTTGTATGTGTTTTGTCTTTGTTTACTATTTTTTGTTTGGTTCCAAAGAATATATTTACCAAAAGAAATAAAAGAAGAAGAATATAAGAAGAATATTTACCAAAAGAAATAAAAGAAGGAGAATATAAGAAGAAAGGATTGATACGATACGAGGACAAAAGTAGTGGGCAGAAGTTGACAAACGGACCAGTTAGTAGTTGCGTGCTTGTGCTGCTACCGACCAATCATATTTTGACAATTTTGCAGATTTTTCTTTTTCCACAAATTTATTTATTTTATTTTTCAAATGATTGACTTTAATTTGAAAAAATTGTCACAATTAGAATCCAGATATTTTTTTACTTCGACGAATTAGCACGTATCCTTTTACTTCGACGAATTAGCACGTATCCTAGCACGTATCCTCTTTGAAAGATCACTACTTTAACCTTTTGTGTAGACCTAAAACTCTTGAGGTGCGTCAATTATTTATTTATTTGTGATAGGCAACTAGCAACAATCAATTATCATCGATTAGGATTTATCGACAATTATTAATTATTGAGTCTTTGTTTTATTATCACCGATAGTGAAATAGATAAATTTTTAACGATATTTTTGACTCAAATCTACTCAAATTTGGCCAAAATCACAAAACTATGCACCTGAATATTCATATTTAAGCCTCATTTGGGGAGTGGTTATTTTAGCCAAAAAGTCAAAAAGTTACTAAAAGTTGTCACATCACCTCTCTACTTTTCTGCACATTTTTTTATAAAAAGCCAAAAAATTACTAAACTAGCATGTTCCCAAACGAAGCCTTATAGTAGATTTGAACCAAATTTAAATAAAAAAATTGTTGCCATAATATAATCTTCTCTATGTCCGTTTTTTCTTTAATCTCTCACCTTTTCTTCTTTTTCTCTAGTGGACACTACTTTTTTCTTGTTTTAGTAGAGAAAAATTTTAAATTCTAACAATTTTTTTTAAGTTTTAATTATAGTGGTGAAAATTGTAAAATTTTACAGTTATAAAGATACATTTATGCTTTTCTCTATGACTCAAGCTTCTTCTTTTTTTCTTTTTTTTTCTCTGTATTAAAAAAAATAAATATTAATAAACTGAAAAGTTACAAACCCTTGAAAACTATTGATCTGAGATCTCTACCATTGCGATGATGTGAAATTGTGCTTTGATAAATTACAAATGAGCAAATTGATAATTTTTGAAATTTTGAAATTACAAAATTCATACAGTTTAATGATCAATAAATTCAAACTCTAAATTTTTACAAGGATGTGGTTAAATTTTGTTATGTTTTCCCTCTAATTTCTCTCTTTATTTTTCTTTTTTCTCTTTGATTTATTTATTTTTTGAGGGGGAGGGGGTGATGTTATGGACATTCTGATAAGTTTTCGGCGATATTCTTTATGTCCAATGATGTTCTTCACGTTCTGATGGCTTTTGGTGACGTCCATAACACTTCAGCGAATTTCGAACGATGCTCTGGTGACTTTCCGGCATTGTTGAATATTTCGGTGAGTCTCCAGTGACTATCAGACGAGAGTCTGGCGAGGGTCCAGTGGTGATAGCATGTAAGGCCTCATTCGGAAATATGTTATTTTAATAACTTTTTAGTTTTTTAGGAAAAGATGTGCAGAAAAGAAGAGAGAGAGGAGTAACGTAATTATAGTAATTTTTTGACTTTTTGACGAAAATATGTAGTTAACAAACGAGACTTAACAATATCTTTAAATTTAAAATACATATTCTATGATAATAATTAAAAGTATGTAAAACTAATTAGTTAAAATATTTTATTTTCAGACCATATAGATTTTTAACTATAGTATTAAAATAGGACCTTTCGGTGGGTGCCCCTTTTTACTTCAATTTGTTTGCTATTTTATTTTTAAACTAATTGGACTTTAATTCCAAAAAAATGTCAGTAAAATTCGATCCCATGCATCTCTTGCATCAATCATAGCTCGCACATGGATGTGTTACAACGTGATAATTATCGCCAGTGGTACAGATATATCACTTGGACCACTTACAATCCACCCTCCACCTGACATAAATTTTATTGGTGCCGTTGGTTAACACTTACGTTTTTAATTTTTAATTTATATTTATAAAAAATAAAAAAATTAAAATAAAAACTTGTTTGGTAAAATTTTTGATTTATAAATCAGTAGTCTCAGTTTATAAATTTAGCCAAAAAATATAAACTCAAAAAAGGTGTTTCCGTTTTGAGTTTTCAGTTTTTTTTTTTACCACCCAACACTAGCCACCACCCGCTACCATTTTCCACAATTGTCTTCCTCCACCACCACCCACCACCACCTGCCACCACCACTCGCCAGCCACCCACCAGCCACCACCCACTCGCCACCCACTCGCTACCATCACCCACTTTTCGCTACCACCACCCACCTGTCATCCACCCGCTACCACCATTACCATCCACCGCCCGCCACCACCACCTGCCACCCACCAGTCACCACCGCGCCACCACAGCCACCGTCACCCCTCCAGCCCGCCGCCACCACCCACTACCCACCACCACCACCATCATCACCCACCCGCGCCCACCTGTCACCACTACCCACCACCCACCACCCACTGCTACCACACCGCCACCGTCACCCACCCACCACCACCACCACCACCACCACCTACTCGCTACCACCTACCACCTGCCACCGTCACCCATCCATCCATCACCATCACCACCCGCCACCTACCCGCCACCACCCACCACCACCCGCTATCCACCACCCACCATCACCACTTTCCACCACCGTCTTCCGCCGTCACTTACCGCCACTTGTCATTTCTCACTCTTTTTTATATTTTTAATTTTTTTTAAACATTTTGTCAATTACCAAACGCGTTTGTAGTTTATGTTTTTTTAAAAATAAACAAAAACTAGTTTATAAAATTTTTGTAAATATAAACTGAAAACGTAAACGTTACCAAACAGACCCAATGTATTTGTTGTTTACAATTTTATGTTCAGCGAAAAATGATAAGAATGAAAACACAATCCTCCTTAATTATTGATTGACAAAGTTGAGATTGTGTGTGGTTAGGGATGTAATAATAGTCCGACCCAATTCACCCGGACTCAGCCCAGCCTGTGATGAGCCTCGCAGGGTCTCACTTTTTGGCAAGCCGAGGCCAACCCGCGAGTTGAAAAGTGGGGCTCAAGACCACTCTAAATAAGGCCTAGGGCCGCGACCTTTCTTTTTCTTTTTTAGTGAAAAATGAACAATAAATACATTATGTATATACATTATTTATGAGTGATAAATAAAAGAAAAATTATACTAGAGTATTTTAGTTAAGATTAATGAAATGATTGGTTATGTTTCATGTGTGGTGGAATTTAAATTTAATTACGTATGACATATATTTTTTTAATTATGAACTTATAACTAAAAAAGTATGAAATTGTAACGCCCCGAAAATATAACAATAACCCATTTCATTTTATTCTTTACAAGTGATCAATAACATCATATCTTCTATTTCATTTATAACTTTGATCAATACAAAAGATGACATATGTGATATACATTCATAAATCCTAAATTCTGAATTTATAGCATATGAGATGGATACATGAAGTTAATAATAAGAATAAAGTCAAGTAATTATATGCTCTCATAGATATATCTTTTCAAGTCGATGCTTGGGTACAGCAAAATGAATGCAACTCAATACAACTAAAACTCAAGGCTTATACAAAAATAATTACATTAAAATAACAAAATGAAGCCCTTGGCTCCAAGTCCTCCCAAGTTATGTCCCTAGTGGAGGCATATCATCAGCATCTGAAAGTTGTTTTCCATATGGGGTGAGCCAAAACTCAGTAGAGATATTTTAATACAATATATGAATCTTGATGAAGTCATAAGGTGAATGCACATGTATTTGTCAAACTTTTTACATTTTCCATCTCAAAACTATGCAATATTAGATTATAAATCAATTCGTGAAAATAACCCTTTTATAATAAAAAACATGGTAATGAATACAATTGACACCTAACCGCATTGGTTTCTCGACTTTTACAAAGGACACACATGCCAACATAATAACCACAATTACACCCCATAATCAGATTAACCAAGTTATTCACCTAATTTTTCTCAAAATCAATACATTTTCAATGTTCAATATTAAACGATGCTTGATGCAAGATGTCTGAGAAATTAGTTTCAATTTAACCTAATTCTCATGCAATTTCTACAACAATAAAAAATATCCTCTATCGATAGCTCAAACAGATATTTCTACTTGACAGATAATTTCCAATCAAAAGATATAATTCCATTATTTTAAAATAAGAGTGATATTACATAACCAACTCCACCATCGTCATCAACATAACATTGTTCCAATCTTACAAAACCCAACATCTTTTCCTTTACTTCCATAAACCAAATAACAATGATTCTCTAACAAAATCTCATTTACGGAGTAAGTTTTCAAAATTCCAACACAACCCAAGAATATATATGCTCCCACAACCTTTCTGAAGCATTTATTTGAAAACCTCTCATTTACTTTTCAAAATCAAAACCTAGTTTTAACCAAAAACCCCCAAATCACTAACTCTTTTGAAGGAGCAAATAACTAACCTAAGAACCATATTAAGGGTTGAAGAAATTCCTACCTCAAAGTAGAAGGCAAGAGAGAGCAAAGGTAAAAGCTTGGCGGAGCCAAAAACAACAACTCTTCCGACCGATTAAAACGAAACCCTCGATGTGCTCTACCCTTTTCTCAAAAGGGCTAGAGTGAAGAAATCAAAGAATTGAGAATATTTAGAGCTGGAATGTAAGAACTAGAGAGAGAGAGTGAAGATTTAGGGTTTTTAGAGAGAGAGAGAGAGAGAGAGAGAGAGAGAAGTGAAAAAGTGACTCAAAATGGTTTTTCTTCAGACTAATATACGCGCAAATCGCTTGAGCGACCAAAATCACCACTCGAGCACACAACCCCCTCCTACAAGTTTAGACTTGCAAAAGATTACTCGAGCGCAAAAAAGACCGCTTGAGCTAAGATACCACACTTTTAGTAGTTTTGCAGACT